GTTTTTTGTTGTCCCCATGATCCTGTTTGTTATTCATTGTGGAGTGATTTACTGTCTGCTTTAAGAGGGTCTCATTCTGGTCTGAACGGGATTGCTTCAAAGCCACTGAGTCATGACTGTAACTAGCACTCCTGGAGGCTGAGGCAGGAGGCTCCCTGGAGTTGAGGCCAGCCTGAGCTACATAGTGAGTTCAAGGTGAGCCTGAACTACCTAGTGAGACTCATCTCAGAAAGAAAAATTCCTTTCTCAGGGAGCTGGCTGTGCCTGTCTTCATTCACTGCCTCTGGGCAGAAAAAGAGACTACTTTCTGTTCGGTGAAAACTGTGAATTTAGCCAAGGAAATGCCTACCTGTTGCTTCTTGCCAGTTGTTTGACTTCACTGTGAAAAGAGCGCAGGCTTTGTCTTGTCTCCTGTTGGGTGTGCACTTTATATAGAGAGGGATTCTCAGAGCAAAAGTAAATATCTAAGTGCATTTTCTGTGAAGATCTGGAGAAGCATTAAGTTAGTAATACAGCAGGATCCTGATGAGTTTAGTTTCCCTGGCACTGTACGATTAGCATTTAGTACACAGTGCTTGTTAGGGTTTGGGGTGTGGGTACTGTTGAGAATTTAGGTTTAGCTAAACATCTATGAGTCATGATAGTAATTGTACAAGTATATCAGTAACGTGGTGTGATCCTTGTGAAACTGCTGTCATGCTCTTAATAGCTTTCCTTGATGTAATTTTCAATTTAAAATTTCTGATGGCTGGGCGTGGTGGCACATGCTTATAATCCCAGAACTTGGGAGGCTGAGGCAGGAGCATTGCCATGAGTTTGAGGCCAGCCTGGACTACATAGTGAGTTTAGGACCAGCTGAGCTACATAGCAAGATCCTGTCTGAAAAACAAACAGAAAAAACTTCTTGTGATAAGTAGGTCTTGTAAATTCTTTTTTTTTTTTTTTTTTTTTCTGTTAGTACTGGGGTTTGACGACAGGGCCTTGCGCAGAGATACATTCCTAGCCCTTTTCTTATTTTTTATTTTGAGACAGAGTCTTGCTAAGTCACTAATTTGCTCAGGCTGGGCCCAAACTTTAGATCATCCTGCCTCAGCTTCCCAGGGTGCTGGTATTACAGAGGTGTGTACCACACCCAGCAGATTATATAAATCTTAATTTCCTAGTAATTTGTGCAGTTCTTACTGTTTAGTATTGTTGGAATTATACGTGTATGTAGGGTAATTATACATGCATGTAGGAATTATTACATGTATATAAGTTTCCTGGGTGCTGGGGATATAGCTCAGTGGCATAGCACTTGCCTGGCAAGCCTGAGGTTATGAGTTTGATTCCTGGTACCACACACAAAAAAAGTTTTCTGACATAAAGTAGGTGTTCAATAAATGTTAGTTACAGAGCCAGGTGTAGTAGAGTGCGCTGGAGGTTGAGACAGGAAGATCACTGTGAGTAAGAGGCCAGTCTGGGCTACATAGCAAGAACCCTTTCAAAAAATAATAATAGAAGTAAGTGTTGGTTACAGTCATTGTCACCGCTACCCTATGGATAATTCAGATTAGGCGTCATGGTGCATGGTTCTTGATTGAAAGGAGGCAGGAGTTTCATACTTAGCAGTTGAACTGTGTAAGGAGAAACGGCGCCCGGTAAGCCCCATTCGTTTACAGGCTTGTTCATTCCCCTGCTGGGCGGTTAGGAAGGGGAAGAGGAGTGTGGACTGGGTTTCTGTCTGTTTTGTTTTGTTTTTGTATTAAGTATTGACCTTGCCACATCCCCAGCCTTTTTTAAAATGTTGGGACAGGGTCACTTAACTTGCGCAGGCTGGCGTCCGACTGCATGCTCTTGCCTCAGTCGCCTTGAGTGCCGGGATTCAGGCATGCGTCAGTCCCCACAGCACCGAGGCAAGTGCTGTGGCTTGGATCCTGCCTGTTGCCCAGAAGTACGAGTGATGAGGCCTGCTTGCAGCCTGTGGTACTGTTAGAAGGTGGTAGGACTTTTATGTAGTAGAAAGAAATGAGGTCACTGGTGGCGTGTCCTTGAAGGAGATATTAGAACTCGGGCCCTTTCCTGTCCCTGCGCTTCCTGGCTACCACGAGCTAAACAAGGGTGCTGTGTCCTGGGCCGCTGCCGTGAAGTACTGTGTAGCCACATGCCCAAGGCAGTGGAGCCAAGTGACCATGGAGGGACGCTTGGGAGCCTGAGCCAGAAGTAAAGCTTTGCTCCTTATAAGCTGATTATCCCGTATACTGTACTTTGCCACAGTGACAGCTGACTAACAGCATGCGAGAAGGAGTTCGCGGAGCACAGAATTAAGGAGGAGAAAAGGCTGAACCAGTTAAGGGTAGGATCAGATAATAAGGCTCCAAATGGTAAGATGAGCAATTTGGATTTGAATTACAAGTAGAACATTGTTTTTGGAGCAGTAAAAAATAATTTTATACAGTTGTCACCTTAACCCAAGGGCTTCTAAAAAAGGGAAACTGAAGAGTTTATTTTCCTTTCCTGAATATTATTCTAGAAGTGTTATTACTGTCCGCTGCTGCCCGTTACAAGTGCAGGAAGGGGACTGGGAGTTCTAGATCGTAACTTTCATTCAAGGCCCAATGAACATGGTTAGTAAAGCGACACTTGAATACCCCATCTCGTCAGTTCATATTTATTTGCCGTTGTCTTTGAAATCAAGATACTCCTTACATTCACTGTCATCCAGGTTAGAGGTGTGGTTGCCATTGCCAGCAGATGTATGGATTTAGTCCTGGCTGGCTGCTCCTGCTGTGGTAAAGACGGCTGGGCAATTGACACTGCTCTGTCCACCTACACTTTAAAATGCCTTTTAAAAGATTACACTGTGATTGGGCATTGAAATGCACATATCCAACAAAAACAAACTCCAAGGACAGAAAAAAAAGTACTCCATATGAGAAACGTATGGAAATTGAACAGCAAAGAACAATTTTTCTTTATGGCTGATGGATGGCACCTTAGGTTTAGTCAAATGCAGCATTTACCTCGGTTCTTTGTGATGATAGCTTGCTGAGAACAGATTGTATTACTAAGTGATCAATTTTTGATTACGTACAGACAGGCAAAGTTAAAAAAACTTACTGAGATGTAAAGATCAAGATCAAAATACAAGAATAAAATATTTGCATTATTTTGAAATAGTAATCTTGCCTATTTCTTTGTCTTCTCAGATACAACATGGCTTAGTGGTTACATTGCACCATTTGGAGTCAGGTAGCTGGAGTTCAAATCCTGGGCTGACCCCTTACCAGCAATGACCCTAAGCAAGTTACTTAATCTCCTTGCCTCAGTGTTCTGTCAAATGGTCGTGATTCCTACCTCACAGTTTTGTTATGAGAGTAAAGTGAGTTTTTATATACAAAGTGTTTAAAATAGCACCTGGCTGGAAGTAAGTATTGCAATATATGTGTTACTTTTTCTGGATTATATTCTGTGAATCATAAGTGTTGGTAAAGTTTTTCCAGAGCTGGGTGTGGTGGCTCACACCTGTAATCCTAGTATTCTGGAGGCTGAGGCAGGAGGATTGCTGCAAGTTCAAGGCCAGTTTGGGCTACGCAGTGAGTTCAAAACTAGCCTGAACTACATAGCGAGCCTGTGTCTTTAAACAAAGTTATTCCATGAAAAGATATGATTATATTACTCCATTCCACTCCTAATTATTCTGTTGTTTTTGGGATATGTTGATTTTGGAGTTTTAGAAAATTATGTATGAATCACATGCATAGATGCATGCAGCCTTATACAGTAAAATCAAATAGAATTAGTTTGGGAACTTTTAATAATACATTCTTTTTCTAAGAATCACATGCTTGTGTTTTCAACCTCTGCCAAGGTAAAACCATATAGTCTGATAGTCATTCCCAGTACACAGATAGGGACTGGCTTTAACAAGACCCATTGCCTCAAAGACTGCTGGTCTCAGCAGGGTCGGGTTCCATTTCTAGCCTCTGACTGTAACCCCTGCCTGGAACAGAAAGGCTGCTGATGCTTTTTTGGGGATTCTGGAGGGACGTTTCAGTTAGTTATTTCTAGTTGTGTGACCCTCAAGTGTGTTGTTGGGCCCTCAGCTGTTGAAGAACATAGGATAGTGTTTCTGTTCCAGCTGGCAGTGGACTCTCTCTGAGACATGTTCTAATTGAAGTTGGTGGGGAAGCCCCAGGTTAGAATCAGGACCTAATGCTGGCAAAAGCTTAGCAGTGACATACGTTACATTTCTTTTCGCTGAAGTAACTTTGAATTTTTTTTTCAGTTTTATTCTGAAAGATCGTTATCTTAAATTGAGCCAGTTGTTTGAATTGCGCTGTATTTGTAGATAGGTGTTTTGTGCTAACCTTTGACTTTGTGCAAAACAGGTTAAAGTGGTAGGGTGAAGACTTTTAAGCTGAAAGGGAGTTTTTAACTGGTCTTGCGTAGCTGTAAGTTAAGGAGTTAGATTTTTCCATGATTCAGATTTACAAAATTATTCCATAGTTCATTTTATTTAATCGTTCAAAAAACTAGCTTTAGCTATACTTCTGTTTAAGTTATCAAACGCAAGTTTTAAATACGATGTTGGTAGAACCTCTTGTTTGCTAATTGCATGATTGGAAACTTATTGTCAGTGAAAAATGACACACAAATGGCATGTGCAGTAAAGCTTAAAATAGCATGTCTTCACATCCGTGCAGATTCCCTGCCCTCCTTATATGACCTATTGCTTACGGAAGGGAAAACCTGACGCACCTTAAGTGTCTGTTGAGTCTAAAGCAGTACACTGAAATGTTATGTGTATGTTTGTAGTTTTACTGATTACATACTTATATTTCTTCTGTAAGTGCCCAAAGTATTTCCTGTGCTTAGACTTTTGAAAGAGTAATAGGTTGGACATTTCAGAACGCACCTGGCAGTCGGTACCTTGTTACATGGAGCTTGCAGTTCTATAGAGTGAAAAATGCAAGTCTCAGGTCTGTGTCAGATGTGCCGGGCTTACTTTCTGACTGACATGTTTGTGCATTTTTGTTTGTTTCTCAAATACAGAGTTGCCAAATGCTCTTAAATCAACTGAGAGAAATCACAGGCATTCAAGATCCATCCTTCCTTCATGAAGCGTTAAAGGTTGGTTTCCAGTACTCTCAGCTAAGAGCCTTTAAAAAGCTATCCATATCCTCTTTTGTTGTTGTTGTCTGAGCTATTTTTATGCCAACATTAAAATTCATGTGGGGACAAGAACTGTACGCATCAAATAGCCTGGTCTCTTCAACCTGGTGGATTGTAGGGAGTTGGAGGGAACTTGTGGGAAAAACTGCACAGACTAAAGAGATTTGGGAATCATATCAGTGAATTGCATCTTGTAGAGTGTATATAGATCCTGACTGAAACCCACAGACTAAATAATATTTGAGGCAGGGAAGTTTGAATTGGTAAATTGATATTTAAAAAACCATCGTTGCTATAAGCATTGTGGGTTTTATTTGAAAATGATACATTCTGAAATGTTAACTAATGAAATGATGAAATGGTTAGGATTTGCCTCAAAATGTCTGGGAGATGATCAGCAGTATAGGTAAGACTAGACTGGCCCTGCCTCGCTAATTGTTGAATCCAAGTGATACTTCCATGAAGTTTAGTTACTCGTTTTCCTGTTGTGTGTTTTGGAGGTTTTTCCCAATAAAGGGTTCAGAACAAATATGATCCCCTTACAACGTATGGAAGTCACCTTGATACTTTTGTTGTAGAGGTTGATTTCATTTAAAATCTCCCTTTTTGACACGTTGTACCTGAGCTGTTTTGTGAAATCAGTAGTAGTAGGATTTAAAACAATGACAAGTGTGCAGCAGGTTTCATCTTCGTTGGTTTTGGGGAATCAAGGTGTGGCGACTCACTTCCTCTAACTGGGTGTTTCCTGTACCTTCAGGCAAATTAGGCTCGCTGTCCACACATCACGCTTTCTTTTTCTACCTGTGACCCTGGATTTATTCAGTGTGTCACCAATGTTGTAAGGAAGTATAAGGAACAACTAACTTGCTACTTAAATTCTGTGACACTTTATTTCTGGTTTTCTTTCTGTCCTTAGGCCAGTAATGGTGACATCACCCAGGCAGTCAGCCTGCTTACGGATGAAAGAGTTAAGGAGCCCACTCAAGACGCTGTTGCCGCTGAACCATCTGAGGTAGAGGGGAGTGCCGCCAACAAAGAAGTGTTAGCAAGTAGGTATCTCCTGTCCTGGTGCTTCTTGAAACTAGCTGAATAATAAGAGTGAGAGCCGGGTGTGGTGGCGCACCTCTGTAATCCCAGCACTCGGGAGGCTGAGGTAGGAGGATCATTGCGAGTTCGAGACCAGCCTGGGCTGCAAAGTGAGCTCAAGACCAGCCTGAACTGCATAGTGAGACCCTGTCTCAAAAAGACGAAAAAAAAAGGAACGAGTACATATGAGTTCCTGTCAATCAGATCAACCCTTTGAATAGCAAGTATTGAGCCATTACTAGGTCCAGGCACAATTCCAATCTCTTCAGTGTATTCTCATTCACTCATTCTGTAGCATTTATTCAGTGAGCACCAACTATGTGTCAGAATACTTTTGAATACCAGCCTTTGTGTAGCTCCATGCTTCAGTTGAAGGAGATCAAACAGATTATAATATGTTCTAATAGCATATTAGAACATGAAAAATAGCGTAGAAAAAAATACGGGGCTGAATGAAAGAAGTGGAAAAGGGAGGCCTGGAATTTCAAGTAGACTGGGCCTTTTAAGAAAGTACCAGGCAGGATTGGGGAGAGTCAACAGAGGACCTATGGTGGGAGCTTATCCACCTTGCTTAAAGAGACCAGAGCTGAGGCTGGGTGAGTGAGGAGGGCTCTGAGGATCATAGTGGCACCAGGCACCATAGTGCACCATACATACATCCCAGCACTTGAGAAGCTGAGGCAGGAGCATCTCGTTAGGAGTTCGAGACCAGCCTGGGTTACAAAGTGAGCTCAGGGCCAGCCTGAACTGCATGGTGAGACCCTGTCTCAAAAAGACAAAAAAAAAAAAAAAAAAAAAAAAAAGAATCCTGGTGGGAGCAGGAGGCAGTAGAAGGTGCTTAGAGAGGAATGTTGTTAGGGAAAGGGAGAAGTTAAAGATGACTCTACATTTTCTCTAAGCACCTTGTTGTAGTCAGGGTTTACAAGGAAAACAATAACAATACAGGACACAATATATAGGATTATTTTATAGTAGTTACCCAAAGAGTTTAGTACAAAAGAGTGCAGGAGCCAGGCGTGGTGGCGCACGCCTGTAATCCCAGCACTCGGGAGGCTGAGGCAGGAGGATTATTGTGAGTTTGAGGCCAGCCTAGGCTACAAAGTGAGCTCAGCGCTAGCCTGAACTGTATAGCAAGACCCTGTTTCAAAAAGCCAAAAAAAAAATAAAAGAGTGCAGGAAATCTGTCCACACGCCAAGACCCAAGGAATCCAGCTGAGGGCCTGGATCCCACGGCACTGTCCTGCACGAGTCCAGCTGCAGACCTAGAGCCCATGGCAGTGCCCCCTGCCCCGAGTCCAACTGGAGGCCAAGAGCCCACGACAGTGCCTCATACCTGCCTGTGTCAAGGATCTGCACTAAGAACCCAAGGTCAGTGGTGGAGGCTGGAAAGTCTGTGCCAATGGGATGAGGGATCTGTGGTAGCAGGCTGAGGGATCTGCACTGGGGCCAAGAAGCGACACTGAAGAACCAGAGCTCCCGGGAAAATTACCACAGCCATCCTCAGCAACAGTGAGGCCCTGAGCTCCTCCGACTAGAACAGCTGAGTTCCCATCAGGAAAGCCAGCGTGACAAGCTTCTCCAGGAGAGGGAACAGTGCACCATCTTCTCCCCCTAGAGCCGGGAAGCGTTGCTCAAAGTAAGGACCAGAGCTCCCCCAAAGTGAACTGTAGCCATTCTCAGCAGCAAGGTCCTGAGCTCCTTCGATGAGAACAGCTGAGTTCCTGTCAGGAAAGCCAGCATGACAAGCTCCTCCAGGAGAACCAACGGCCCCCCACCCAACTACGTCTCTTCTTTCTCTCCAGTTTTCCTTTTTACTTTGTTGGCAACAGTCTCAGGTGGGCCTGCCACACCCAGCACCACCTGATTCAGTTCAACTGGGTGTTACAAGTTGACCACCAGTTGTCAATCCACCACACATCTGAAAGGATGGAGTTGCATTTAGCAGAGGTGGAATATCTGTAGGTGGGGAAGGTTTAGGATGGAGGACAAAGAGATTGGGTTTTTTTTTTTTTTTGTCTTTTTGAGACAGGATCTCCTCTATGCAGTTCAGGCCGATCTTGAGCTCACTTTATAGTCCAAGTTGGTCTCGAACTTGCAGTGATCCTCCTGCCTCAGCCGCCCTATTACAGGCAAAGAGATTGGTTTTATAATGGTAAGTTTGTGTTTTTTTTGTGTGTGTGTCTTCTTGAGACATTGTCTTGCTGTGTAGTTCAGGCTGGCCTTGAGCTCACTTTGTAGCCCAGGCTGGCTTTGAACTCCCAACAATCCTGCTGCTTCAGCCTCCTGAGTGCTGGGATTACAGGTGTGCACCACCACACCCAGCTTTTTTTTTTTTTTTGGTACTGGGAATTGAACACAGGACCTTGTGCTTGCCGGGCTGGTGCTTGTGCCGCTGAGCTATATCCCCAGTCCTGATAATGGTAAGTTTGAAATGCATTAGACATTCAGATGGAGGTGTCAGAAGGGCGTAGAGACCCAAGAGCACAGTTCAGGGGAGAGATCCAGGCTGGAGGGAGGAGGGGGCTTAAGGGAAAGGGTCAGTGGCTAAGCGCTGGGTGCGCCCAGTGTTGAGGTCTGAGGCGGGGATGAGTGCTGGGGAAAGCAGAAGGATGGTCTCACGTAGTCAAGGCGGCTTCTAGAAGAGCCCCAGGCAGGGTCAGAAGGTGTCAGATGCAGTACTGAGCTATTCTGAACAATGCTGCTAGAGCATTCTTAGGTGTGTCTTTTTGGGTACATTGTAATTTTTCAGACAGCATTATTCTTTGTGAGATTCACCCGTGTGGAAGATAATTCTGTTCTTGTTAGTTGGTTTTCACTAAAGTGTAGTATTTAGGGTGTTCAGGAGCTTCTGCTGCTCTAAACAAGCCGCAGTCCGTTGTTTGGGTTCCTGTTTCTTATGCATGTATGCAGGAGTTTCTTCCGTGTATATGGCTAGTGATAAAGTTAGTGGGGTAGGCCATGCCCTGTGTAACTGTCCTAGTCCCAGTCTCATTGCTGACACCACAGGTGAATGGTGGAGAGGTTTATCCTGGCTCACAGTGTGTAGAGATTTCAGTCCGCACTCAGCCAGCTCCAAGGCAGAGGGGCATGTGGGAGGGTCTGACAGGAGCATGGGGGCCAGAAGCGTAAGCGATCAAGGGCGGAGGTGGGAAGGGAGAGAGAACCTTCTTCCTGGCTATGTCCGGAGTGACCCAGCTCTCACAGCAAGTCTGCTGTACCCCCATGATCCAGTCACCTTCCACCAGCCCCACCTAGAGGTCCTGGGGACCCAGGGGACATTCAGGTGGAAACCGTAACACCGGCCTTCCAGGTGATGAGAGTGTTTCCCAAAATGATTTGTCTGTTTATACTGCCATTAGTCGGGTTTCGGAATAGCAGCGGTTCTCAAACTCGTTACGTCAGGCTGTGAAATTGTCTGACCTTTTAATATGAAGTGATACTTGGTTTTTCATTAGCATGTGTAAAATTGGTATTGAGATTATGCATTACTCTCTTTTTGGCCACTACATTTCTTCTCCTGTGAAATTTTCCTGTTTGTATCTATCTATCTTTTTGAGACAAGGTCTCATTATGTAGTTTAGGCTGGCCTTGAACTCTTTGTATCCTTTGCTAGCTTTCTGTCTTTCTCGGTCTTTCTCTCTTTCTGTTTTTTGAGACAGGGTCCCTCCTATAGTTCAAAGTGGCTTTGAACTCACGTGTAGCCCAGGCTTACCTCCAACACAGCAGTCCTCCTGCTTTAGCCTCCTGACTGCTGTGATTACAGGCCTGTGCTGCCACACCTGGCTCCTGCTGGCTTTTCTATTTGTTTGCCTCTTACTCTTGATATTATCTGATATTGACCTATGATATCATTATTATTATTATTATTATTATTATTATTATTATTTTTGTACCAGGGATCAAACCCAGGACCTTGCACTTGCCAGGCAGGCGCTTGTGCCACTGAGCTATATCCCCGGCCCCGATACTATTATTATTAATTTTTTTTTGGTCTTTTTGAGACAGGATCTC